CTGTGCTCAAGGCTACAAGCTTTCTGCAAGATATCTGCTAAGCACCCTGCCCCCATACCAGCACATGGGGTTTTTAAGCCTTTATAAGCTTACCCCTAAGTTCATTCAGGGCTGCAAGAACTTAAGAGATCCAAGTCCTCCTGTGGCTGCCAGCTTTTGAAATAAAGATTCCAAATTCGGCTCTCTGATTACAGCATTTTCTGTTTTGCTTGCTGAATTTCTGGTATAACAGAGTGAAGCTTAACATCTCTATAAAACATGTTTACTAGATTGGGTATTCCTCTTCTGTGAAATGCTTTTTAAATATTTTGCCCAATTTTTTGTATTTCTAATTCATTTGTGACCATTGTATGTTCTTTGTATTAATACTGTGTTAGTTACAAATATTTGAAATATCTTATTTCAGTTCTACTTTTTAAATTTTGATAGTGTTTTAATGAACACAAGTACATAATTTTAGTGTAGAAGAATAAATTATTTCCTTTCTTGGTACACATATTTTGCATCTTTTTAAAGAAATTCTGCTATGGTAGCCAGCCTATAACATAGCCCTCAGTGCCCAGCTGGTGTGGCTCAGTGGTTGAGCATTGACCTATGAACCAAGAGGTTGCAGTTTGATTCTTGGTCAGGGCACATGCCTGACTTGCTGGCTTGATCCTGAGCAGTAGGGGGGGGGGGGGGGGGGGGACGCAGAAGACAGTTGATCAATGATTTTTCTCTCATTGTTTGTTTGTTTGTTTTAAATTATTTTAAAACTAGAGGCCCGGTGCAAAAAATTTGTGCATTCGGGGGTTGGGGGGTCCCTCAGCCTGGCCTGTGCCCTCTCGCAGTCTGGGACTCTTTGGGGGATGACCACCTACTGGCTTAGGCCTGCTCCCCAGGGGATTGGGCCTAAGCTGGTAATCAGACATCCCTCTGGCAGCCCTCGGGGGATGTCCACTTGCCAATGGGGAGCAAATCTAAGCTGCAGTCGGACATCCTTAGCGCTGCTGAGTAGGTAGGAGAGGCTCCCACCACCATCACTGTACTGGCAGCCATCAGCCTGGCTTGTGGCTAAGCAGAGCTCCCCTGTGGGAGTGCAGTGACCACTAGGGGACAACTCCTGCATTGAGCGTCTTCCCTCTAGTGGTCAGTGTGTGTCATAGTGACCAGTCATTCCCAGTCATTCTGCTGTTAGGGTCAGTTTTCATATTACCCTTTTATTATATAGGATAGAGGCTTGGTGAATGGGTGGGGGATGGCTGGTTTGCCCTGAAGGGTGTCCCGGATCAGGGTGGGGGTCCCGCTTGGGTGCCTGGCCAGCCTGGGTGAGGGACTGAGGGCTGTTTCCAGGCTGGCTGGCGACTGAAGCTCCCAGCCTCTCTTTTTTCTTTCTTTTTTTATTCTGGGATTTATTTACCTTCTATAATTGAAACTTTGTTGCTTTCGGAGTTCAGAGTCGGGCCGCAGTAGGTGGGGAACCTTGGTTTCCTCCATCACTGGAGCAAGCAAGCCTCCTGCTCACTTCAGCTGTTTGGCTGCCGGCCGCCATCTTGGTTGGGTTAATTTGCATATCTCGCTGATTAGCCAATGGGAGGTGTAGCGAATGTACAGTAAATTACCATGTTTGTCTATTATTAGATAGGATTAAATCTTTATTGTTCAAATTATTACAGTTGTTCCTCTTTTTTCCCCCCATAGCTCCCCTTCACCCGGTTCCCACCACACCCTCTGCCCTTACCCCCCCCCCCCACTGTCCTCATCCATAGGTGTACGATTTTTGTCCAGTCTCTTCCCGCCCCCCCCCCACACCCTTATACCCCCCAAGAATAGTCAGTCCATTCCATTTCTATGCTCCTGATTCTATTATATTCACCAGTTTATTCTGTTCATCAGATTATTTATTCACTTAATTTTTTAGATTCACTTGTTGATAGATGTGTATTTGTTGTTCATAAGTTGTATCTTTACCTTTTTCTTCTTCTTCTTCCTCCTCTCAAAGGACACCTTTCAGCATTTCGTATAATACTGGTTAAAAAGCTTTTCCTTATCTGTGAAGCTCTTTATCTGACCTTCAATAATAAATGATAGCTTTGCTGGATAAAGTAATCTTGGTTGTAGGTTCTTGCTATTCATCACTTTGAATATTTCTTGCCACTCCCTTCTGGCCTGCATAGTTTCTGTTGAGAAATCAGCTGACAGTCATATGAGTACTCCCTTGTAGGTAACTGACTGTCTTTCTCTTGCTGCTTTTAAGATTCTCTCTTTGTCTTTTGCTCTTGGCATTTTAATTATGATGTGTCTTGGTGTGGTCCTCTTTGGATTCCTCTTGTTTGGGGTTCTCTGTGCTTCCTGGACTTGAAAGTCTATTTCTTTCACCAGGTAGGGGAAGTTTTCTGTCATTATTTCTTCAAATAGGTTTTCAATATCTTGCTCTCTCTCTTCTTCTGGCACTCCTATAATTCGGATGTTGGTGTGCTTGAAGCTGTCCCAGAGACTCCTTACACTATCTTCGTATTTTCGGATTCTTTTTTCATTTTGCTTTTCTGGTTGGGTGTTTTTGCTTCTTCATATTTCAAATCTTTGACTTGATTCTTGCGATCCTCTAGTTTGCTGTTGGAACTCTGTATAATATTCTTTATTTCAGTCAGTGTATGCTTAATTTCTAGTTGGTCCTTTTTCATATCCTCGAGGGTCTCACTAGATTTCTTGAGGGTCTCACTAAATTTATCAGCAGTTTCTAGAAAATTCTTGAAAAACCTTATAACTGTGGTTTTGAACTCTATATCCAGTAGTTTGCTTTTCTCCATTTCTGTCATTTGTGATCTGTTTCTTTGTCTGCGTATTTTGGCTGCTTCCCTGTGTTGATAGAGTAGTTTTGTGTGCTAGGTGTCCTATAGGGCCCAGTGGCTCAGCCTCCCCAATTACCTGAGGTGGACACTCTTGGTGCACCCCTTTGTGGGCTTTGTGCACAGTCTTGTTGTAGTTAAGCCTTGATTGTTGTAGGTATCACTGCGAAGAATTGACCTCCAGACCAATTGGCTGTGAGAATCAGCTGTGTCTACAGTGAGAGAACTTCTGTACTGGAGACACCCTTATGGAGCAAGACTTACTTCAGTGGGGCTTTGGTCCTCACTGAGTCTGGCCCCTGAGTGTGTCCCTTTTGGATCTGAGAAGTTGCAATCTGGATGGTCCCACTCTGACCACTGCGTACACTGGCACTTGGATCTCTAAGGAGGTGCTAATTTAGCCTCTGCCTGAGGCTACCCAGCAGACGCTATGGAGAGATCTGCAGAGTCCTTTTCTTTGTTTGGGGTTTGGAGGTGCCCCGATGAGGCCCAGCTGTGAAGCAATACAAGCTGCTGTGGGGCCTTGGGCCTTCCTTTGGATGTTCTGGGTCTCTCTGACCCAGCTGTAGTTTGTTAGGTAATTTTCAGATAGCAGAGGGCCAAGCCTTTCATATGCAAAAGCCTCTCCCCACAGCTTGGGTGGGGCGGGACCTCAGGGAATCAACAGGGCGAGTGAACAGCTATGGCTGATCCTCAGACCTACCCTAAGAGGCCCCGCGTCTCAGTGTCCCGGTAATCGCTGCAAACACCTCTGAGAGAAAGCCGCCCTCTATTTCCAACCAATGCCAGACAGTCCAGTTTCTCCCCATATGAGTCTGGGTCCCAAGAGACCCGCCCGGAACTGGGGTTCAGAGCAGTCAGGAGCTTGAGACTCCCTCCCAATTGAAAAAGACAACCGTGTCCTCAGTTGCCTGCCCTTTCCGCGTGTGCCTCCATATCTCTGCACTTTACTTCCGCAGCTCCTCTGAGTCTCAGTGTGCTTTTCTCCTCCCTTCTAGTTGTAGAATTTCCACTCAGCCAGCCTTCCTGTGGTTCTGGATGATGTCCGTTTTGTCTTTTAGTTGTATTTTTGAAGTGGTTGTGCGAGGCAGCAATTTCTGGTGTTTACCTATACTGCCATCTTGGTTTCTCTCTCTCGTTGATGCTTGTAACTCTCTCTCCCTCTCTCTCTTCCTCTCTTAAATCAATAAAAATAAAATAAAATAAAATAAAATAAAATAAAATAAAATAAAAGTCTAAAAAAAAAAAAAAGGATAGCCCTCAGTGATTTTCATCTTGAGCTTGTCATGCCTTTGGGTAATCCACTTCTGTACTATATCAGTTTGGTCTATGTGACCAATGGACTGCACCAGAAGTTAAAGTGTTTGACTTCTGAGGCCAGATCATAAAAGTGCTACTTTCACTTGCTCTCTTGGAGTACTTCCTCTGCGGAAAGCCAAGCATCATCTCGTGAGAACACTCAAGAAACCCTATGGAGAGTTCCCTATGGTGAGGATGGGAGGCCTTCTCACAAAAACCAGTACCAAGTTGCCAGCCATGTGAGTAAGACATCGAGGAAGTAGACCCTTCAGCTCTTGCCAGGCTTCCACATGATGGCAGTCACAGTTACTTATTTGACCAAAAGAATTTCTCTATAGAGTTTTGAGGAAAGTCCTTCTTAATTTTTAATAGTTACCTCATTATGAGTCTTTGGATAGACAAAATAGTACCATCTCTTGCCCAAGGAATGTATGTGAAAAGAAGTATGAAGAAAGTAAAGAATGCATAACAAATTTTTTAAAATGGAAGAGTTCACCCTATTATTAGTGGAAAAGAAGAAACTATAAAAGGGATGACTAAAGAAAGTAAGACATCTGGATATTTCCATAAACCTCTATGACAGCAGTTCTCAACCTGTGGGTCGCGACCCTTTTGGCGGTCGAATGACCCTTTCACAGGGGTCACCTAAGACCATCCTGCATATCAGATATTTACACTATGATTCATAACGGTAGCAACATTACAGTCATGAAGTAGCAAGGAAAATAATTTTATGGTTGTGTCACAACATGAGGAACTGTATTTAAAGTGCCAGAAGGTTGAGAACCACTGCTCTATGATAAGAATTACACATAAATTACAAGAGGAAATTATCATTTTAAGATAGGTCTCCATTTTAAATGTGACAATGAATAAAGTTCTACTCATAGATAAAGTTTATTCATCTCACATATTGAATTTCTTTTAGAATCACAGAAAACATCATTCCAGCCCCATCCTCTAGGATTCCAGAAAACTACTGAAGCACATTCCTCTGCAGAAAAACTGGGCTCACCCTCGTGCCATGATCTAAAGAGAAACAAAGGATAAAAACACGTCAGTGAATGCACAGTGATTAATTAAAAAGAATATAGAGTTGGGGTTTGAAGAGAATGGGGTTCAGGGTGAAATAACACTCCAATGATTGCTCTCCTCTTCTCATACTGCCCTCTTCAAAACCCCCAAGTGTAAACACACACTTTTATAATTGCTTCTCTAACATTTCCCTGGCAAATTTTTATGTAATAGAGTAAACTTGACCTTGTTCCTAAAATCTAATCTTCACTTTTTTCTCTATAAAGAGCCCTTATCCTGATCTGGGTTGTTAAACAATTCGTGTCTTGGTAGCATAATGAAGAGGTTGCCTCCTTAATTTGTGTACTCTTATCACCTTCCTAAATACCTATTCTCATGGAGCTTGAGTCTGGTCATAAGAAGTTACCCTGCCTACAAGGAATGCAATCTGTAGTAAGGGTGACAAGGTTTGGATGGGGGTGGGAGGGTAGGACTTTGTTTTTGGAATTAAGAGACATGGTTTTCTCCTGACTCATTTTGATCTTAAGCAAATAATTTATTCTCTTCAGGTATTTGATTCTTCACCTATAAAAATAGGAATCATAGTCAGGTCCCCAAATAGCTTATAAAAGTATGTGAACATCACATGCAATAATGTATAATTAAATTCTGTATTTATTTCAAAGCCACAAATAAATAGTATTATTATATAATCATCCTCCTAGAATTGAACACAGTTCTCACACATGTATTTTAAGTCTTATTAATTGAAGTAAAGTGTAATTGAAGTGTCTGCACGAGTTTAGAGGCAGCAAATGGTAATGAATAAGAGACCCATCTTTGGAGTTAGACATGGAGTTGCGGCCCTCTTTCTCATCTTACTTCTTATTGACTTCAGGGAAGTTAATTCACTTTTCATCAGTAAAATGAGTTCTAAAAAAGTTTTCATAAAGTTTAAGTGTGACAATATATGCATTTAATAATTGTGCATGTAAGAACTTAATAATTGTTAGAATCTGTTATCATCAATATAATTATCAGTATTAGCATTAACAGTCACTGCCAACAAAATTGCCCTACATTTTTATGCCTTACTTCCTTCAGTCATCCCTCTTATAGTTTCTTCTTTTCCACTAATAATAGGGTGAACTCTTCCATTTTTAAAAATTTGTTATGCATTCTTTACTTTTTTCATACTTCTTTTTACATACATTCCTTGGGCAAGAGATGGTACTATTTTGTCTATCCAAAGACTCATAATGAGGTAACTATTGAAAATTAAAATTAGGTACTATTTTGTTTCTCTCCTCCTCTAAGTAGTAATTCTCTAGTAGTTAATTACTTTGTTATATAAACAAAGCCCATGGTTCATTAATGTGAGTCTGTACTCACCTGACATTTTCCGTGTAAGGTGTCTGATCAATCCATTGCCAATTGCCATTCCCTTGTAGATCTGAGAGTCCCAGAAAATAAGAAAGTGATTCATTCAGCTGCTGAACAATGAAATTCTGCATAAAGAAAAAGAAGCCATAGACTGAAATTCCCAAATTGAATAGAGTAAGAGTTCTTTAGAGCTCTAAAGAGAAAATAAAATGCCAGCTGTGAGGAACAGTGTCAAGACAGCTCATTGGACAACAGAACAGGCCCCAAACATCAATATCATTACAAGAAGGAGGGAGTTATAACTCATGAATTTCCATCGCAAATTTATTTTTTCTTCACCAAGTGGCAGAATTCTTTTAAAATGCATGTCAATTTTTGCACTTTCAACCATTTTTAAAATTGTATATGTTCAGATGTATTCTAGCGTATTTCTCATTGTTTATCAATGAAATTGCATTTGAGTTATCAAAATTCAAATTTGTTTCTCTCTTCCCCTAAGTAGTAATTCTCTAGTAATTAATTACTTTTAAAAGTTAAACATAAAGGAGTGTTTATTATATTTATAACAGTAGTGATGACTTCTTAAAAAAACGATTAGTCTCATTTTTCCATCTGGGCCTCGTATCACCTTTTTAATCTATCAGAATTGTTTTCTGGTTGAGATAAAGTGCAATTAATTTTGAATTCAGTTTTTTAAATCTTTCTTTATTGTTGAAAGTATTACAGATGTCCCCTTTTTTCCCCCATTGACTCCCCTCCTCCCCACCTTCACCTCCTCCCCAGGTCTTCACCAGCACTATTGTGTGTGTCCATGGGTTATGCAAATATGCATATAAATTCTTTGGTTAATCTCTCCCGCTCCCCCTCCTTCCCTCTGAGAATCATCAGTCTGTTGCATGCTTCCTTATCTCTAGATCTATTTTCTTTGTCAGTTTATTTTGTTCATTAGATTCCATTTATAAGTGAGATTGTGTGATATTTGTCTTTCTCTGACTGGCTTATTTCAGTTAGCATAATACTCTCCAGGTCCCTCCATGCTGTCTCAAAGGGTAAGAGATCCTTCTTTTTTACAGCTGCATAGTATACCATGGTATATATGACACCATGTAAATGTACACAGCTTTTTTACCTACTCATCTACTGATGGGCACTTGGGCTGTTTCAGATCTTAGCTATTGTAAATTGCACTTCTATGAACATAGAGGTGCACAAATTCGTTCTGATTGGTGTTTCAAGTTTCTTAGGATATATTCCTAGAATTGTAGAGATCTTTTTACAACAATGTTAATATAGTTAATTATTGAACTGTACACTTTAAAACAGCTAAGATGATAAATTTTATTTTTAATTAAATTTACTTTATTTAAATGAAAATGAAAAATAAAAAAACAAAAGTACCTGCTCTGCTTTTGTGTTGAGTACCACCAAATGAGCCCCCATCCGAACACAGTTCTGCTCACTCTTAGACCAAAAATTACCTTCTTTAGAAATGAAGTAGCAGCTGGAACCAAAAGATTTCCAAGTACTTGGGCAACATCCCCAGACTTTTTCTATGTTGAATGAAATAGAAGAGTGAGTGCAAGATGAGACAAATAAGATCAAAGAGGTAAATTCCATATATGTGAAATCTGAGGTTGTTTTCTAGAGATGGGCTTCTTAAGTCATGTATTTATTGTTCCCTAAATTATATAATTTGGGGCCATAGGGCTGCTTTTAAATAAACATTTTTTCACATTAAGTCCTCAGTATTTACCAAGGTTTACCTACAGAATTTATCTGGAATTTTTGCCAAAAAATCACTATAAAATTTTTTCTGTTCTTTATATCCCTTATACATTAGATGCACCAAGTTCTATCATGGTTACAAATTACTAATAAAGGTGTATCTCAAATGCCAATTCTACTTAATAATCTTGGGCAAGCCACAAGTCTCAAGTCTCAAGTTTTTAAAATGGAAATGATAATTATTCACAGGGTGATTATGAAAATTAGAATTATGCCTTACTCGAATTCTGACTCCACCATTTATTATGTATGCCTTTGGGCAAATTATATAACCTCCTTGAGCTTTAGTTATTTTGTCTTTAAAGTGTAAATAAAAACAGTCAGTACCAAACCCAAAGGGAAACTTAATCACATAATATGTGCAAAGCACTTTAAAAGATGCTTAACATTTTCTAACTCTCTGTCCCTCTCCCTTCCTCTCTGTAAAAAAATCAATAAAATATAAAAGATTCTTAACATTGAATAATTGCTCATAAATATTGCCTATTACTAATTTTTACACAGCATCAAACTTATGAGTTTTAAAAATTATCACTTCTCTCTCCTTTCCCCTTATAAACACCAATTTGCCATTATCCTAGAATTAAAAATTTCTAGCTAACCAATACAGATCCACTGACATGTTTTGATCATATATGTATATTTACATGTTTATATACAATTTTAGCACATATATATGTATACCTGAATAATAGGTTGTTTTGATTTGTTGAATTTTAAATCTCTTTAAAAGTATAATATATGTGGTCTTCTTGGCTTCATTTTTTAATTCCACATTGCTAAGATTCATTCATGTTGTTATATATAGCTCTATGTTATTCATTTTAAATATTATTGCATTAAAATTTGCATATTAAATGATGAGAAACAATCTATAGAATTATTCTTCCTTTTATAATATTATAATATGAATAAAATAAACAGACCATATCTATATCATTTTACTATTAGCCACTTTTGGAAATTTATCTTAATTATGCTTTCTGTTCATTATTAAATACTAGAGGCCCGGTGCACAAAATTCGTGCGTGGGTGGGGTCCCTAGGCCTGGACAGTGATCAGGGCCAATCAGGTTCCCTGCCTCTCCACCTCCTCTTTCCCTCGCTACCTGTGTCTGCCACCATCAACCCCCGGGGCCCAGCCCTCATTGAGTGATCGGGAACTGCCGGCTGGGGGGAGGGGCCAACAGCCACCGAGGCAAGTGGGCAGTGGGCTGATAGGTGCCTGCCAGCTGGGGGGAGGGAAGGGGCGGAGGGACCCAGGAGGTTGGCTGCCGGCCCCAAGGAGGGAGCTGGCCCTCGGCCCCCCTGGGAAAGGGGCCACATCAGCTGCCACCCACCCCAGGTTCTCCAGCCCAGTTCAGGGGCCTGCCAGCCGATGGGAGGGACTGGGAGGTTTGCTGGCAGGCTCCTGCATTGAGCATCTGCCTCCTGGTGGTCAGTGCACATCATAGCAACCAGTAGTTTCATTGTTAATAGTCGCTTATGCTCTTATATATATAGATTGTTTTTCATAATACTCCTTAAAGTATGTATTAACAATATGTTAATTTAACATGTCTAATTAAGCGGACTGTTTTGATGGTGAGAATTGGCTGTATCAGTTATGTATGGAAGCATTTTACATATGTTAAATATACTAAATCTCCAGCTCCAAGGTTGACAAAATTATTTAAAGCTGTGATGAAAAGAAGCATTTGTCAAAAAGATATATGGGCATTAATAATGTTGTATTTTTCCAATTGTGCTTTGTAATTATAAAAAGAAGTGTACTTACTTAATAGTCATTTGATAACACATATTCTTTTTGGTGTAATTCTCAGAAATTGAGAAAGTGAATCACTATTGACTGAGAAGAATACAAACCTTTTGTAAATTATTCTATTTATTATCTACACTAATAAAATTGAAACATGCAAATTGATGTCACTCTGCTATGCCCACCAGCCAATCAGAAAGACTATGCAAATTAACCCAACAAAGATGGTGGTTAATTTGCATACACAGGCGCAGAGCGAAGACTGAAGGCTCCGGCTGGAGTGAAGACTGAAGAGGCTTGGCTTCTCCACTGCAGTTGCCTTGCTGTGGCTACAGCAGAGAAGCCAAGCCTTGAGGCCAAGCCGCTGTGGCCAGACCAAAGGCCTAGGTCTTGGGTCCCAGAGGAAAACCAGTGCCAGCAGCCAGGGGAAGGAAGGCCTATTGTGCAAAACTTCGTGCACTGGTCTTCTAGTTCTTTATATTTAACAACATTGAAAAATTACCTAATCAAATTCTCAGTGAACAGATTATTATAAATAATTTTTGATACTAGATCACTATATGTTTTTAGCAAAAAACTATGCCCTAGCCGGTTTGGCTCACTGGATAGAGCGTCAGCCTTGGGACTGAAGGGTCTCGGGTTCGATTCCAGTCAAAGGCATGTACCTTGGTTGCAGGCACATCCTCAGTAGGGGGTGTGCAAGAGGAAGCTGATTGATGCTTCTCTCTCATCGATGTTTCTAACTCTCTATCCCTCTCCCTTCCTCTCTGTAAAAAATCAATAAAATATATTTTTTAAAAAGAACACTAAAAAAATTGGGTGCCATTCTAACCGAACACTTTCTATTCTATCAATTTATTTAGATAAGTAAGATTTATCATATTGTGTCACTAAAATGAAAAATAACAAAGGAGTTGATGTTGAATTCTACCTCACTCTAGTAGTAATATTATTCAATAGTAAGTATAACTGATTGCATTTTTTAAAGTCCATGTGTCTCCTTAAAATACTAGAGGCCCAGTGCACAAAATTCATGTATGGGTATGCCGGGAGCCGGTCCATGGGTTCTTAGGCCTGGCTGGCAATCAGGGCTGATCAAGGCCTTCTGGGTGCTGGCTAGGGCCTCCTCCCTTCCCTGGCTGCTCGCTGCCACCCGGGCCTTCCTTCATTCTATGCCACCCCCTGGTGGTCAGCACACGTCATAGTGAGTGATAGAACTCTCAGTCTCCTGGTTGAACTCCCACAGGGACACTTTGCCTATTAGCCTTTTATATATATACTAGAGGCCCGGGTGCACAAAAATTTGTGCACCCGGGGGGGAGGGGGGTCCCTCAGCCCGGCCTGTGCCCTTTGGCAGTCTGGGACTCCTCAGGGGATGACCACCTGCTGGCTTAGGCCCGCTCTCTGGGGGATTGGGCCTAAGAGGGCAATAAGACATCCCTCTGACAGCCCAGCAGCCCTCAGGGGATGTCCACTTGCCAGCAGGAAGCAGGCCTAAACTGCAGTCTGACATCCTTAGCGCTGCTGAGGAAGCAGGGGAGGCTCCCACCACCACCGCTGTACTGGCAGCCATCAGCCTGGCTTGTGGCTGAGCAGAGCTCCTCCAATGTGAGAGCGGCCTGACCACCAGAGGGCAGCGCCTACATTGAGCGTCTGCCCCCTGGTGGTCAGTGTGTGTCATAGTGACCAGTCATTCCCAGTCCTTCTGCTGTTAGGGTCAGTTTGCATATTACCCTTTTACTATATAGGATAGAGGCCTGGTGCACGGGTGGGAGCCGGCTGGTTTGCCCTGAAGGGTGTCCTGGATCAGGGTGGGGGTCCCGCTTGGGTTCCTGGCCAGCCTGGATGAGGGGATGATGGCTGTTTGCAGCTGGTCGCACCCCCTTCAGGGTGGGGGTCCCGCTTGGGTGCCTGGCCAGCCTGGGTGAGGGGATGATGGCTGTTTGCAGCTGGTCGCACCCCCTTCAGGATGGGGGTACCCACTGGGGTGCCTGGCCAGTCTGGGTGAGGGGCTGAGGGCCGTTTTCAGGCTGGCGGGTGACTGAAGCTCCCAACCTCTTCTTTTTTTCTTTTTTTTTTATTCTGGGATTTATTTACCTTCTATGGCTGTCACTGGAGCTGAGAGCCAGCTTTAGCTCTGAGGCTCAGCTCCAGCTCTGAGACCTTGGCTGCTGAAAGCAGGTATCTGGGTTTGTTTGGCTTCTATAATTGAAACACTGTTGCAACTCCAGCTCTGAGGCCCGGCTGGCTGAAAGCAGGTTTCTGGGGTTTGTTTAGCTTCTATAATTGCAACATTGTCTCTTAGAGTGCAGCTCAGAGGCCGGCAGCAGCAGGCGGGGAACCTTGGCTTCCTCCATCGCTGGAGCAAGCAAGCCTCCTATTCGCTTCACATGCCTAGCTGCCGGCCACCATCTTGGTTGGCAGTTAATTTGCATATTGCCCTGATTAGCCAATGGGAAGCATGTCGGAGGTATGGTTAATTACCATGTTTGTCTATTATTAGATAGGACTACAGCAGTGATGGCGAACCTATGACACGCGTGTTAGAGGTGATACGCGAACTCATTTTTTTGGTTGATTTTTCTTTGTTAAATGCATTTAAATATATAAAATAAATATCAAAAATATAAGTCTTTGTTTTACTATGGTTGCAAATATCAAAAAATTTCTATATGTGACACAGCACCAGAGTTAAGTTAGGTTTTTTCAAAATGCTGACACACCAAGCTCAAAAGGTTTGCCATCACTGTACTAGAGGCCCAATGCACAAAATTCATGCATGGGGGGGGGTCCCCTCATCCCAGCCTGAACCCTCTCTAATCCGCGACCCCTTGGAAGATGTCTGACTGCCAGTTTAAGCCCGATCCCCGGGATCGGGCCTAAACCGGCAGTCAGACATCCCTCTCAGAATCCTGGACCACTGGCTCCTAATTGCTCACCTGCCTGCTTGCCTGGTTTCCCCTAACTGGCCTGTCCCTGTTGGCCTGAGTGCCCCACACTGCCTCTGTGGCCAGTCTGGTCACCCCCAACTGCCCCCCAGCCAGCCTAGTCGCCCCTCACTGCCCCCGCCTGCCAGCCTAATTGCCCCCAACTGCCCCCCTGCCACCTGGTTGCCCCCAACTGCACCCCCTGCCAACCTGGTAGCCCCTAACTGCCCCCCCACGCTGGCATTGTTGCCCCTAATTGCACCCCCACCAGCCTGGTCGCCCCACACAACCTGCTGTTCAGTCATTTGGTCGCCCCTCACTAACCCCCCTGCCAGTCTGGTCATAGGCAGCCATCTTGTGAGGGCGTGATGATCAATTTGCCCATTACCTCTTTATTATATAGGGCTAGAGGTCCGGTGCACAAAATTCGTGCACTTGGGGAGGGGGGTCCCCCAGCTTGGCTTGTGCCCTGTCACAGTGCAGGAGCCCCACAATTGATCGCTCCAAAGAGGTAGGCCCTGCCCACCCATCTGGGGCTCCTTGATGGATTGCCCCAAAGACGTAGGCCGGAGCCGGGGATCCTGCCTCCTCCATGCTGCACGGATCCAGGAGGTGGGACCCCCAGGACTCCCAGGCAGGCCTCCCCACATGGAGCTGGGACCCCCAGGCAAGCCTCACTGTGCGGAGCTGGGGAACCCCCAGGCAAGCCTCACTGCATGGAGCCGGGGGACTCCCAGGCAGGCCTTGCCGGACCTCAGGCGGGCCTCGCCGAGTGGAGGTGGGACTCCCAGACAGGCTCTGTGCCGAGCACGCAGCATCAAGCCCAGCCCTGTACGCAGCCATCTTCGAATGGCATGAGGGCATCACGGCATGATGACCACCTAAGCTTTTATTAGTAAGGATAGACTAGAGGCTTAGTGCATGAAATTTGTGCACGAGGGCATCCCTCAGCCTGGCCTGCACCCTCTAGCTATCTGGGACCCCTCAGGGGATGTCCAACTCTCGCAATCTAGGAATGCTGGCTCCTAACCACTCGCCTGCCTGCCTGCTGGATAGCCCCTAACCACTCTGCCTGCCTGCTTCATTGCTCCTAATCCCTTTGCCTGCCAGATCATCCCTAACCACTCGCCTGCCTGATTGCCCCTAATCACTCTGCCTGCCTGATCACCCCTAACCACTCTGCCTGCCTGCCTGATAGCCTCTAACTGCTCACCTGTCTGCCTAATCACCCTAACTGCTCACCTGCTTGCCTGATCGCCCTTAACTGCCTCTGCTTCGGCCCCCGCTGCTGTGGCTTCATCCAGAAGGCTGTCCGGAAGGACATCCAGAATTATGTCCAGAAGATCATTTGGCTGTCTGGTCTAATTAGCATATTACACTTTTATTATTATAGATGGGCTTCTAATAGTTTTATGTTATCAGTAATAATTTATAAAAATATATAATAAATATGTAATGTTTTGAATATATATTCTGATGATAATTATAATAAATCCATCCAGAAGAAGTTTTATAACAAGCTTAATGTTCCATAGGAAATAAAACTATTAGAGATGTTCTTATTTACATATCTTGGCAGACAGGAAAGTGCTGTGTAAATGTTAGTCTAAAGGGGGAAAGAATGATGTAATACCCAGGACTGTTAAATAATACATGCATTTCTTCTTTTTTAATATTCATGATGGGAGTGGAGGTAGCAATTTGTAATGGTATGTAGACACCAAAGATACATTTTAAAAACATGTTTAGCAGTTTTATTTTTAAATGTTGATATTTACAAAGTTCCAGAAATTATAGCTTTACTTCTAATACATGATAAAAAAAAAGTTAGATTTCAGATTAAATAAGGGGATGCATAGTTTTTCAATATATTTCTGGGGTTTTGACAAGCATGCTTCAACATGTCCCAGCCCTCAGATGGGGGCCGAGTGGAAAACAAATAGGAAAAGATACATGTGGACCTCGATTATTTTTTTACCTTTAATGAATATGGAAAATTTTTGTTTGGACTTTTAACTTTTTATTGTAATAATAATGTGAAAGGATGTTCTTAAAATCTGAGCACTTTTATTTGCTGACGTGGTAGCATACAAGATAATTTTACATATAAGCTTATCTGTAACTTGACTTATTTGTATGAAACAGCTTGAAAGGTTATAAGAGGGAGTAAATTTTGCAGTTTCTTATGCCAGATGGATGTGGGGTTAATTTAATGAATACCCATCTTTGTCTCATTCATTTCAGAGCATGCTGAAAGCAAAGGCTAAAGTACCCATTGCTGCTTCCAGGAGGTAGTCTTTAAAACTCCAGCTGCTGATAGAGGAGTGCCTCAAGTTGTTGAGAGGAAAACAATATTGATGTAATTATGTTCTTCTCCCCAGAAGTGCCAGCTCCACAATCGACAGAAAACAAAAACAAAAACCCTCAATGGGGCAAGAAAAGCCTACGTGAGAGAGCAAAGAAAACTGTTCCTCGCCGCCCCACGTACCGTATTTCTAGCAAACACTTAAAAAGGAAAAATCCCAACATCTCATAAAAATAGAAAGACACTAAGTCCTCTCTCTCTTTAGTTCTCAGAGATTTTTCCCATAAAGGCAAAGGAGTGCATACTAAGAATCTGACATCTATTGGTATTTCTTCACTTGGAAGGAATAAGGCCATAAAAACCACTACGAACATGCATTTTGCCTGTCTTTGGCCTTTCTCACTAGACATAGTGCAAGGCGGACCGTGATTTTGAATTCAACCCTCTTAACGGTCCACATACGAAGGTGCCAGCACCACATTTTAAAGTGAGGGCAACCTCGTCCTGAGCCATGTTTCACCAACCGAACTGAGCAGTAATAAAGCTGACACTTGGAATTAAGATGGGTGTTATTAACTAGGAGCCTTAGATAACAAAAATAAATTTTATCCAAGTGATAAGGGTAAGGATAACTTTAAACCAAAACTTTTATGAAGAATTTCCAGGGTTGGCTTGAGCAAATTGCATGGTGTATGATAATAACACTTATTGATCTCAAGAAGTCTGGACAAGGGCAAATCTAGAGCCTGATAGGAGCATGTAAGTTTAGAGAAATCCTTTAAAAAAAATTTTTTTTATTGATTTCAGAGAGGAAGGGGGAAGGAGGAAAAGGAATAGAAACATCAATTAGTTACCTCCTGCACATGCCCCAACCAGGGCTCAGGCCAGGGAGGAGCCAGTAACAGAGGTACATGCCCTTGACCTGAACTGAACCAGGACATTTCAGTCTACAGGCCGACTCTCTGTCCACTGAGCCAAACCAGGTAGGGTGTGATATCCATTTTTTAAAAATAGAATAAACCAATCTTGAGCTCACCCCTGACCTCTCTTTCTCTGAGAAAAGAGAAAGTCTGGTTAAGAATTGCAACACCTTACCTGTCACCCTTGTCCCTTCATTGAAGCAGGTTAGACTTGGATGATATGTATGTAATTCAGACAGCCTTTTGACAGTTTTTGTATATGTAATATGATACGTCGCTGTGGAGGAAGAGGGAGGATTAGTATCCACCGATTCTTTTGCTACAAAACCTTGTGCTCTATAAATCTGTGCCAAGCAGGCTTTCTTCCAACTGTAACCATTTCCTTCTCTCTTCTATTCAAACTCAATAAAGGCTGTGTTCAATTACTGCTTGCCTCTATTCATTTGTTTGTGTATAAGCCTGTACTTTTTTGTTGTTGCTCTTTCCCCATTGAAATTTAAGTTCTATATCCTAGGACAGAGATTCTATTTCTACATATATTAATCGCAAACACCTAGAATAGAGACTGTCAAAAATAATCCATACCTATCCGTTGATCTACTGACTGACTGCTTCTTCTTAATTTTCATAATCATGAAGCAAGAATGCAGATTATTTTTACATTTTCTAAAAGTTCTGACTGTTAGTAGCTACAGATAAACATATGAGGTAAATAGAAACCAATGGGAGCCTTTAAACATTTAGAAACATTTTAAATGTCTCAAATAAACATTACCTTTTATGTTCAAGGGTGTGCACAGGGAGAAAGACCTGTTCTCTCTTGGGTCCTGAATTGATTCTTCACTCATTTCTGTGTTAGCCTTCTACTACTAAAGATCACTACTTTCCCACCATTCTCCTAGCCTATGCCTTGGGGTCCTTAATATCTGCTTCCTCTTGGTTAATAAAATAACTGTTCTTAAACGCTCTTCCTCTTGCACTTGACCATGAAAAATGAAACAGATTCTAACTTTTTTATAATTATTTTTATTTGTGTTTTAGTAAAGACCAAGACATTTACTTGTATCTTGAGGGAACATCAAACATGGCCCATCTGGCATATGAAATCACTTTCACTTCCTTCCAGACTATTTTATAACTATTTTTAATCGCCTTAGCAGAGAATGGAGAACAAAATTTTAGATTAGAGAGAACAAAGTGTTGAAGCTTTCTCACAAAATGTACTTGAAATATTTATTTGGAAGCAAATGGAACAGAAAAGAAATATTTTATTCCCTTACATCCTCAATATTTCATTTGAATATTTATTCTCCTTATATTAGAAAAGACTCTCACAAGAAAAATCAAAGACGCTATTCTAAAGTATTATGATTATAAAAGCAATTATAGTTGCATTCTCAATAGTGGGGGTTTGTGGGTAGAGAATATGTGATCAGTAGTGAACCACGTAGTGAAAAATGATGTCTTTGACTACAATTAACATCCAGCCATATGAGAGGTCATGATTGAGAATAAATAAAACCAGGTGAAATATATCTGGAAGCAGAATCAATTATCAAAATATGAAGAAAAGGGAGAAAAGAGAGGGAGGGAAAGGAGGAGAAAGAGGAAGAGGAGGAGGGGAAATCAACAAAAGCATTGCATTCCAATTAACAGTTGACATATTAATGGTGTATAGAACATGACAGGGAAAGAAATCACAAGAGTGTCACCTCAGTGAAGAACTTACCCACACAACTCACGATGAAACAAGCACTGAGGAATGTTATGGAAACCACAGCAACAGACCAGATCTTCACGGGGGACCACCATACTGGCCTTACTGTCAGAGAGGCAAGACAAATGCAGTTACCATGGAGCCAAGAAGCCAGAGTTCCTAAGAAACTTAGAACAATGAAGAAACTAGGTGAAGAATCTCATATTAATTAAAAACCTAAAAGAAGGAGAGAGCTTAAAAACTCCCACAGATGGTGATGGAAGGAGACTTAACTTTGGGTGGTAAACACACAATATAATATACAGATGATGTATTGTAGAATTGTATACCTGAAACTGACATAATTTTATTAACCAATGTCAACCCAATAAATTCAATAAAATGTTTAAATAAAGAAACTCTCTCAGAATAAATAACCAGGTAGTAGCTCTGAAGTCCTAAACAATTGAGGAAAAAGTCATCCTCAATCAACTGTATTTTCTACTTTCCTTTTCTTTCTTCTTAAATATTATATTCACCCATGGATTCCCCATCTTTCTCAATCCATCACTTTTGTCTCCTCCTTCTCATACCACTGTGTTAATATTTGTTTACTCATTCTAACAAGTACATCTGGCTCTGAGGAATTAGTCTTTCTTCTAACTTCTCTTGATTGCTATGGTAGTCCAATCTGTATCCCTCCAATCTGTTCATTGTCTATCTCTTCTCTCCAGGTAACTCATCATCTCATACACTTCTTTCTCTCTGGAATTAAGAAAAGGAATGCTCACCTCTACCTTGAGATTGCCCTTGTTGCACCATCATGTGGGCTCCCTGTGTTCAGAAGGCTGAGGAGCCTCTTGTGTGTCTTTTTCTCTGAAAATGTTACCCAGAGCTTTGGCTTTATTCAAATAGGTTGGAGATGAGACAAACAACTAAACACTCTGATGTGGCTAAGAGACTTCCAGTATAAAGTATGCCTCAAAAGAAGAAGTTGCGGTTTAGACTAAAAAAAAAAAAAAGAAAGAAAAGAAACTCCATCAGAATAAATAACCAAATGACTAAATAAACTTCAGTCTTTTAGTTTAGACTAAAGTTTCCAGTGATTTTAAAATATCATGAAAAATAAGAGGAAATTGAGAAACACATCTAAAACAGCTCATGAAAACTTTGACAAGAATGTTGAGATCACTTGTTCAGTTTCTGACATGAAATTTCTCCCCCTGATTCCTATTTATTCTGGCATGCAAAATAGAAAATTTTATATACCCTAAAAGAAATTTATTAAATTAATAAGGTGTATGCCTAATTAATTTAAGTGCTCCCTAGCCAATCTTTACATTGGATTTTACGTAAGGTTTAATCCATGTGTTGAACAGTGTCCTAGGAAGTGAGCAAAAGTCTGATTGAATAGATATGGTTTAAAAATATGTTAATATTTTTACTTAAAGATCCATGGACATTGTTCAGGAATGTGATTGTAAAATAGAAGGTTCTGGAATTTATCTACAAAAGTAATTAAACATTCTTAATGAATCAAGACTGGTACTGAGCAAAGATTAGTAATGTCTTTTATTTTTATTTATTGATTTGAGAGAGAGAGGGAATGAGGGACAGAGAGAGAAAGAGAGAGAGAGAGGGAGGGATCAATTTGTTGTTCCACTTACTTATGCATTCATTGGTTGATTCTTGTACGTGTCCTGACTGGGAATCGAAACCACAACTTTGGCATATTGGGACAATGCTCTAACCAACTCAGCCAGGGCTAGAGTAATCCTATGTAATAAAACCCTAATATGCAAATAGACCAAACGGCAGAATGACTGGTCTCTATGACGTGCACTGACCATCAGGGGGCAGACGGGTGGTGCCAGGCCCCCAGCCAAGGCAGGTGCCAGGGGGGGCTCCCGATCGCCCCACCTGCCAGTCACCCCACAGATGGCCCTGATCACTGGCCAGGCCTAGGGACCTTGCCCTATATATTGGGAGTAGTCTCTTAGATTTAAAAATTAAAACCTGGCAAGGCTACTCTAACATGAAAAAATAGGATGATGCAGCAATGACATGCATGAACTCTGGCTTGAACATTTTGTGCTCAGCCCTGATTCTGACACTTATAACTGTGTGACAAAGCCAATTATGAAACTTCTCTCTGCTTCAGGTTTTCCACCCATAAGACGGGGAAGTGGTACTACTACCTGAGATGGATCATGTTATGTACTACTTTTTATAATCAGGGCAAAAAAAATGTAGCTGCCCATACAACAGCAAGATGTCTTTCACCTATATGAAAATATGGTCACTGGTGCATGCAGTGTCCCGGATTGTGAGAAGTATGTCCGACTGCTGATTTAGGCCTAACTTCCCCCAAGGGGCCCCAGATTGCAAGAGGATGCAAGCCAGGCTGGAGGACACCTCATCCCCCCATCCTGCCCCCCACAAATTTTGTGTACCAGGCCTCTAGTATCTTATAATCTCTCTGATTAGGTAAGGGAAAGTTTGATGTAGTATAACATTAGAGGCAGGCTTCATGAATTCCTTGTCATTTCTCAAGGGCTTGAGGATCCCTTCTTCTTAAGATAAAGTCTCTGGACTACCGATCAACATCAAAAATACCTACACATTCTCAAATGAGAATCTTGAATACAAGAAAAATCTACTATGGATAAATGAATATTAAACTCAACAAGCTTTTTAAGTAGATAGTTATGGCTAATCATGAAATAGACACTGAGGACAGATTTAAAAACCCAGAAAATTATCCCCAAGTTGGTTTGAGATGCAACAGGTCATCCATAAAGGGAGAAGAAGAAGTGATTATAAAATATCGCAATCTGTTTCCAGTTCCCCTCAAAGATGAAAAAGTACAACCCGCAGATTGAGTCACTTGTTGTTCCAGGAAAAAGAAAACATTCTCCTTAGCTATACACAGAAAAATCAAGTTAAAGACCTCTTTGCTTCCTTGATCATCTCCAATATAGGCTCTCCTAATCACATAATTGTCTTAACCTTTGGCAGCCCTGTGCTCCATTATCTTTGCTTTTTTCCATTCCTCTGCTCCATATACATTTCTGTATTGCTACTGGAAAACCTTTGAATGGTAGTAGCAAAGTCATAAAGGAGCAATACACCAAATAAAACAAAAATTGATAGGGAGAATGGCAAATTGGAGCAAAAGCTGAAATGTGGACAGGTTCAGGTCAAATGTGCAAACAATTTTATAATATTTTAGTCTGGCCAGGGACTAATGCAAAACTAGTGATGGAGAAGATAATAACTAGTATTGATTGAATATCAAATCATATACTATTAGACAAAGTGAATATTCTTCTGTTTTGGCTTAAACTCCTTTTTAAAAGGCATGATTGGTTAATCAACAATTAGAACAAATCCCTTTCCAAGTAAGCAGCATTGGATTGCCCTTTTAAAAATTAGTGTTCATCCAAACAACTATATGCCAAAAAATTAGATAATAAGGAAGCAATAAATTCCCCAAAACATACCATACAATCTTTCAAAACAGAATAAAAAAGGAACAGAAAATATGAACAGACAAATTAAAACCAACAAAATTGAGCAGCAATTGCTTCACCTGGTTTGGCTCAATGGATAGAGTGTCAGCCTGTGAACTGAAGGGTCCCGGGTTCAATACAAAGGACTTGTACCTCAGTTGCAGGCTGGGTCCCTGACCACGGTCAGAGCTCTTGTGGTAGGCAAAAAATTGATGTGTCTCTCACATAGATGTTTCCTTCTCTGTGTCTCTCCCCTCCCTTCTACTCTCTCTAAAAATCAATGGAAAAATATTCTCAGACGAGGATTTAAAACAACAACAAAAAATTGAAGCAGAAATCAAAATACTCCCAGCAAAAAGTCCTGCACTGGATTGATTCACAGGTGAATTGTACCAAACATTCAAGGAAGAACTAACATATATCCTTCTTAAACTACTACAAAAATTTCAAGAGGAGAGATGACTTTCAAGTTCATTTTACAAAACCAGTATTATCCTAATTCCAAAACCAGATAGAGACATTACAAGGATAGAAAATTATAGTTCAACATCCCTAATGAACATAGATGCAAAAGTCCTCAAAAATATTTGCAAACTGAATTCAGCGTTACAGAAAGATTATACAACATGAACAAGTGGGATTTATTACTGGGTTGTAAAGTTGATACAATATCTGTAAATCAATGAATGTGATACACCACATAAACAAAGTAAAGGATAAGAATCCTGTTGCAGAAAAAAAATTGACAAATTTCAGCACCCACTTATGATTTTTTAAAAAACCCAAACATCTCTCAGTACAGTGGGAATAGAGGGGACAGACTTCAACATAATGAAGACCATATATGACAAACCCACAGATAATATCATACTCAGTGGAGAAAAACAAAAAGCATTTCCCTTACGATCAGGGACAAGACAGAATATCCACTTTCACCATTCTTTTTCAACTTAGTACTGAAAGCTCTAGTTACAGCAATCAGACAAGAAAAAAAAACCAAGCAAAGGCCAAAGTTAGTAAAGGAAGGGAATAAGAAAAATTAGAGCAGAATTAATTTTTAAAAAAAGACAATAGAAAAATGTAATGCAACAAAATGTTGGTTCTTTGAAAAGGTTGATAAAATTTACAAAGCTCTGGCTGGACTCACTAAGAAAAAGAAAGAAAAAAGTCTAAAAAACAAAACAAAACAAAGAACACACACACCAAAATCAGAAATGAAAGAGAAGTTACACTGGACACCACAGAAATACAAAAGACTATTGAAGAATAGTATGAAAGGAAATACACCACCAAACTCAGTAACCTAGAAGAAATGGACAAGTTACTAGAAATATAACTTTCCTAGACTGAATCATGAAGAACTGGAAAACCTAAATAAACTGACCAATAGTAAGAAAATTGAAATAGTCACTAAACACCTTCCAAAAAGTAAAAGTCTAGAACCAGATGGTTTAACTAATGAGTTCTACCAAACAGTCAAAGAAGATTTAATATCTATCCTGCTCAAACTCTTGCAAAAAATGTAAAAAGAGTCAATACATCCCAATTCATTTTATAAGGCCAACATTACTCTAATACCAAAACCTGGCAGGGAAAATACACAAAAAAGACAAATTTATACCAATGTTTGATAAATATAGATGCAAAAATCCTAAACACAATACTAAAAAAAAAAATAAAACACTAAATTGAAAAGATAACACATCAGTGAGGTTCATTCCAGGGGCACAAGAATGGTTCAACATACACAAATCGATCAATGTGGTATACCACCTTAAAAATAAAGGATAAAAAGTCATATGATCATATCAGTAGATGCAGAAAAAACATTTGACAAGATACAGCATCTTTTATCATTAAAATGCTCAGTAGAATGGGCATAGAAGGAAAGTACTTCAACAGAATGGAGGGCATATGTTACAAACCTTCAGCTAATGTCATAGTGAATGGTGATTAGCTGAAAGGTTTTTTTTTCAAGAACAGGAGCAAGAAAGGATGCCTACTCTTACCACTGCTATTCCACATAGTACTGGAAGTCCTAGTCAGAGGGTTCAGACAAGAGAAAAAAACAATTAAAAGCATCCAAATTGGCAATGGAGAAGTAAAATTGTCACTTTTTGCAGATAATGAGTCTTTATATAGAAAACTCTAAATATTCCACCAAATAAGAATCAACATCATTACAATACCCATATTACCCAAAGCAATCTATAGATTCAATGAAATCCCAATTAGAATGCCAATGGCATATTTCACAGATCTAGAAAAAACACACTCCAAAACTTTTATGGAACCAAAAGAGACTCCGAATGGCCACAGTAATCTTGAGAATGAAGAGCAAAGTTTGAGGAATTATAATACCAGATATCAAGTTATACTACAAAGCCACTATACTCAAAACAGTCTGGTACCGGCATAAAAACAGGCATATAGATCAATGG